ACCCTAAAAATTCAGATGGGCAAATGGTTGGTTTTGCAGATGCAGGATATCTATCAGATCCACACAAAGCCAGATCTCAAACAGGATATGTTTTCACAATCGGTGGCACGACTATATCTTGGCGCTCTCAGAAATAGACTCTCGTGGCCACTTCTTCGAACCATGCTGAGATCATCGCACTTCATGAAGCAAGCAGAGAGTGTGTATGGTTAAGATCAATAAGCCAACACATCCGATCAAGCAGTGGAATTCACGTAAATACGGAGCCAACTATCTTGTATGAAGATAACGTCGCATGTGTTCCCCAAACGAAGGAAGGATACATCAAAAGTGATAGAACCAAACATATCCCTCCAAAGTTCTTTTCATACACTCAGGAGCTCCAGAAGAATAAAGAAATTGAAGTAAGATATGTCTGATCGTGTGATAATGCAGCAGATCTCTTCACAAAATCATTACCCACCACTGTGTTCAGAAAGCATGTCTATAATATCGGAATGCATCAGCAACAAGACCTATAAGATGACACCCCGCTCATTCAAGGGGAAGCTTACGTGGTTGTACTTTTTTTACCTGGCTATGGTTTTTCCCACTGGGTTTTCCTAGGAAGGTTTTTAACGAGACAACAAAGACGTTAAGCAAAAAGCGATAGTGACATTGGTCTCCAAGGGGGAGTGTTATGAAAGTCAGCAAAGGAGGATGCGCAAAAGTCACAAAAACACGCTGCATGCAAAACGTGATAAATTATGGAGCACACGTCACTATGCATGCACGGTAAAATTCTCTTTTTAACTTCTATATAAGCGAACGAATTCGTTCATTGTAAAACACATCTCATCTTCTCAATATCTCTCTCGTCTCTTTATATAGTATCCCAATTTCTACGGGTATAAATTTTTCGTCCTTATTTATATTATCTATACGATAAATTATATAGTCTATGATAATATTATATATATATATAATTAGAGGAGTTTCTCTCTGTCTAAAGTTCACATCAGCATTTTTTGTGGGCTTTTATATTTTTTGGTCTTTTTATTGTTTTTATATGGTTTGGGTATTTATTTTTGGGCCTTCATATGATATCAATTAAAATTTAAAACAGATACTTATTTTAAAAACTATAAAAATTACAAATTTTTTATTTGTAGAAAAATATTTGCAAAGCAAACAAATACAAAACAATTACAGAATAATTCACAGAGAATAATCATCAAACTTTAAAAAACTATTTTAGAAAGAATTATGTATATAGCTAAAGTAAAATCATTTATATAAAATAAATATTTATTTTCCAAACCATAAAACTACAAATTATCTACGAAAGAAAATTTCAAAATGTTATTTTGAATATAAACAAAGAGAATTTAAAAAAAAAATAGTTGGAAGGTATACAATTATTGAGCGAATAAATATATTAAAGAATTTATTAATAATTATTACATCGCAATCTATATTAATACAAATAATTTACAATATATATATATATAGGAAAACAAAAAAAACACTTAAAAATAAAAAATAAATATAACACACGATAATATAATATATATAGATAATAATAATACAAATATATAAAATTCAAAAATTAAAATTAAAATAATAAATAACTTTATGCAATGTGTGGATCAAAATCTAGTAATATATAATTATTCATAAAATTGATGTCTTAATTTATTTTCTTACAAACAGATGTGTTTAGTCTATTATATTATTGCATGATAATAAGAATATGATTTTTTGTAATTTTTTGCAATATGTTTTATATTGCGTAAATATATATAATTTAATTAGATATATTTATCGTAATTATAATTGTTATTTGCTTATTAAAATATGTTTGGTTTATTATATTGTTGCATAATAATAAATATAAGAATTGTTTTTTTTTTAAAATGTTGTATATTTTATAAATGTTTATAATTGAATCTTATACATATATAGTAATTATAATTGTCATTTTTTATATAAACTTGGATATAATTAATTCGAAGATTAATTAGAATTTTAGAAATAATTATTTATTGAACTTTTTAAACTATTTAAATGTGTTTGGTAATTAGAGTTAAACTAATTTAAATAATATTTGAAAACCAATGTGTTTTTTTTGGTAAACGAAAACCAATGTGTTTGGTAATAGGTATATAAGAATTAGATAAATAAATAAAAAATCAATTGTTTGGATTAACAAATGACTAAATTACCATTAATGAATTTATAGAGAAAACAAAAAAACCAACGACATTCCATGTAATATAACATGTGATTTATGTTTAAACATACATGTATTTCTTAAATAATAGTATGAATGATATATATTATTTTAGATCTATTCGATTATAAACACAGCTTTTACTTATCATTGTTGGACTCCCAGTTTTTCCAATTCGCTCAAAAGAATATTCTTCCTTTATAAAACTAAATTTTTAGTGAACTTAAAATTTGCTGATTTCGTTGGTGGACTTTTTGGCTTTTATGGTTAAATAAACCTAAAATTTTTAGATCAATATTTACAATCCGTCAATTTTTTGAATCAGATTTTACTTCATTTAAGAAAGTTACTTTATGCATTTTTACTTCAGTAATGTAGAATCCCGGTCGACATTGATTGATTTTTTTTCTTTTAACTGTTCATTTTCTTTCTTACAATTTTAATAATAATCATTTTTTTGATGGCTAATGTTAGTGTTCATTCGATCTGTGATATCCTGACTTGTATGGGCACGCTCGAGATGTACATAGAGTCGATTGCCTCCCTTCGCCCGGATTGCAATATTCCCAATACAGTTGATATCCTCATGCAATCTTTGGGTTCAAATCTTGAAGAAGTTATGGTCCAGTTTTCGTTGTGCTAGTGCTATTTCCGCGAATAAATTATTTTTTTTTTCTTCCGAAACTTCTGGTCAGATTTCTGTTATAGTTGGAACTTTGTCTTTCCTAACTTTGCCCGAACTCCGTCCATTGAATTTTATGCCTCACCGCGATGGCAGTAATACGAAAGAATTCCTCACTTGTTAAAAGAGAAAATGGTCATTTAAATGCTGAACTCAATCTTTTTTGCCAAAAAAGTACAGACTTTTCACTGACTCAAAAAATATATAAACTTATGTTGACCAAGATAAATTAGGTATAATTTTAGTCAATATTATTTAGACTAAAAACTTGTTAATCGCTGTTAACTGTAGTCCTTATGCGGGACGACGTAGTTTCCTTTGAACCAGACAAAATCTTGCTTTCCCATCGATTGTTTTTCTCTTTTTCCTAGCGGTCTCTTTTTCCAATTTTCTAAAGAACTCCAAAATCAGCTACTGGCGAGGCATCCATATCGAGATTCTGGTAAGTTTTAACTGTTTGTATACATTGATTTTGAATTTCTTTTCTTCTCGTTTTACTTTTTGTAGGTTGTTTTTAAGTGATGAATTTTTTCAACTTCTTTGGTATAACATGGATTCAATTTCGTTTAGAAAGAGTAATTTTGGAAAACGTGGCTTTCCTGTGGAATGTGTTTGTGGAGGTCAAGTTTTAGACATACAGAACTTTGATGTGTACAATTTCTTGAAATTCATCACATACGCTAGTTTTGTCATTATGAATCTCATTTAATGTCAAGCATTCGACATGCAGAACTTTGATACAATGTTCGACATAATATATCCATAGAAAGCCACATTTGTTTGTTTGTTTGTTCTGGCGGAGGCAACACATGTAAAAGCAATGATAATTTCTTTCAGAATCAGAAACTTGACAAACCCGTTTTTTTATATTCCAACTTGTTTTGTTTATGTACATTAGGATCATTTATTCAAGTGGGTTGAAGAATGCATGCTTGAGGAGGTTGAAGATGCATTACCAAAAATTAGTAACACTAAAACTTAAGTTACAATATGGAAGCTGAGGTTGAAGAGTTAAGCATGTCATTTATGACTATAAAGAAGATGTGATGAAATGGAAGTTTACAAACTGAAAGCTGACGTTGAAGAGTTAAGCTTGTCTTTGCTTGATTTTTATTGTACTTGTATGTCTACTCTTTGGAGTTTATGTTTGTAATCAATGTCAAAAATGTAAGGCCTTGTGTATGACTTCAATCACTTTAAAAGACTTCAATCTAATTCCTATTTTTTCATTACTCATTCGTGCCATTACTAAAAGCAACGAAGCAAAACAAAAGAAAGTTATATAAAAAAACAAAATGCAACAAATAAGACATCTAATCTTACCAAAATAGAAGCAAAGTCTGAATACATTAGCGAAAAAGTTTGATAGTTTAAGCCGATTACATAGAATATGAAAATGCAACAAAGGCAAGCAAGTTATAGCCAATAACATAGAACAAAAAAAAACTAAACAAAGTTTAATAGACTTGAATAATCATCTCAGGATTTTGTCATCCTCTTTATCAACCAACTTGTGTGCCTCCTTGTGGTCCTCCTTCCTACATACCAGTGAAATATAATATTTATACAACCATACAAAGTATATTTCCTTGGTCGACCCCCTCGTCTTTTAGCTTCAGGTTCAACAGCCAGTCTAAAACATTATAATTTATTGTTACAGTTCAAGCATGTCATGACTCACTTCTCGTGGCTTAACTTGATCTTCTTAGAGGAAGAGGCAAATTCATTAAGCCTTCTAGGCGTTGACGTGGTGCGAACTTCTTTCTTCTCGTTATATCGAAATTTTAGAGACGGTTTATATTCCTATGTTTACCAATGCATTTCTATTCTTATGTTTGCCAATGCATTTATAGATGAGCAAGATGTAAAAATTCCATACCCAAGTATAAAATGGTCATGCATTTGTTATTCCTTTATATTCCTCTTCATCATTTGTGCGCGAAAAAAAAAATTAAACAGCAATAAACAATTTCCAAAAAGTCTCACCGAGAATTGTGATAATAACAAGTTATGTTTGTAAAAATTATTATGCTTGCATAACTGCAATTTGACTTCAAAAGTTAGTCTAGCAAAAGAGATGAAAATGAGAAATGTGCTCTACTCTCCTTAGTTCTCTGCTTGCAAAGGAGCTACAAAACCAAAAAAAAAAAGAAAAAAAAATACCACAAAATAGTGATCCAATGTGAAAAATTACCGTGGATAAAAACCAAATTACCAGTTAGATTGTACCTTTCAAGGCTGCTGGCTCGTCCTAAGGCCTCATTGTTGGGAACAATATAACCTACTTCAACAGTTATTCAAATCATGAGTTTAAACAAAAAAAAAAGATTTAATTAATTCACAGAGATAAATTTTTGAGGCAAAAGAGTAGTGACCTTGATGTTCTGTGAATCAGTTAAGAGCATAGCAAGTCTGTCTATTCCCAGTCCCCAACCAATTGTAGGAGGCAATTCATATTCTAAAGCATTACAGAAGGTCTCATCTAAAGCCATTGCTTCATCGTCTCCAGATTGTCTATCCTTGAACTGATCAGCAAAACGCTGGCGCTGAACCACATGATTGTTCAACTCCGTGTAGGCGTTGCAGAGCTGCAGTCAAGTTATAATGTGTTATAAGTGAAACAACTCTAAAGAAAGAATGTGTGATAGATTTAAATTTCATAAGATTACTTACTTCATGTTGGTTGATGAACAGCTCGAATCTCTCAGTCAAATCACTGCTCGATCTATGCCATTTTGCCAAGGCACTCATGATCTCGGGATGGTTGATGATGAAAGTTGGGTTTACACATGTGACTTCGAGAATTCTCCAACAAGCTGTCAAAAAAAGCGACAGAAATTTCATTATTAAAATTTCATATCCTAGATGTCACAGACAGGCAATAAGGGAGAGACGGAAGATTTTTTTACTTTATCTAGCAGACGAGCTGTTGTTTGAGGAGGAGGACATTTCACATCAAATCTCGCACATGCATCAGTCAAATACTTGTTAGCTTCTTCGCCAAGTCTTTTGGTATGTTGAGGTTAGCCACGTTCTCTAACTCTCCTATCATCTTGATCCTCCTACAAAAGCATAAGATTTAAGTAGATTATTACTAAAGATAAGCTCCTACGGAAAGTTGTTGTTTAATCAATGAAGGTATTGCCTCAAACCTGAATGGTGGGGTGAAGTCGATCTCGATTGGATCCTTATCATACCATTGGCATGATACTTGATTGTGTAACCCCTTGTTAGTTCCTTGACCATGCCACTCAACATATCCTCAGTCATTGTCATCAGGTTGTTGTAGTTTGCAAAGGCTATATAGCACTTACAAGTGGTGAACTCTGGATTGTGGGTCAGGTCAATACCCTCGTTTCTGAATTGCTTTCTGATCTCATAAACACGTTCGTAGCCACAAACTATAAGTTGCTTGAGATAGAGTTCAGGTGCGATACGTATGTACAGCCTCATATCTAGATCATTGTGATGTGTCACAAATGGTCAGGCAGCTGCTCACCCAGGAATCATGTTCATCATAGGCGTCTCAACCTAACAAAAATTCGAGAAAGAAAACTTGAGCCAGATCTTGAATGCAAAAAAGGCAAATATATATTTGAAAGAAAATCAGAAACTTAGAAACCTCAAGAATCTTCTACTATAGGAAGCGATAGTAGCTCTCGTTTTGAGTATCTGGCGAGCATTCACGTTCAACATTAGATCAAGATGACGGAAGCGATATCGAGATTCCTGAAAGGGAGCAAAACAAAAGGTGACATCAAACACTTGCCCGGGTAGAAACATAAATAATACTCCCTCCGTTTCATAAAGAGTGTCGTTTTAGAGTTTTGTTTTTGTTTCACAAAGAGTGTCGTTTTAGGTTTCCAATGCAAATTTATAACAGAATACCTAGTTTTAACCTTGTTATTTTAGTATATTAATTAGAAAGAGTGAGTTATTTAGTGTATTTATTAAGGATAGAAAAGACTTTTTGTTAACTTTCTTAATTTGTGTGAAAAGTGTCAAAGTGACAGTTATTTTGAAACAGAGAGAGTAATTGATACAATAGAATCTAAATAACGAACATCAAGTGAACAAAACAAAAAAACACTGACATTTAGTAATGTATGAGGCTATAATAATCTTTATAGCCTTTGAAAAACTGATATTACCTGATCTTTAAGAACTTGTCTCAAAATTTCTCGGTTGACCTGGAGTCCAGTTTTCAGGTTTCTACATCATAAAATGGTGAAACATGTTAGTGTATAACAACTAACAAGGTTACTCTAAGATATTATAACAGCCACCGTGAATCTGCTTTACTTTTGAATTAACATTGTCAGCCTTTCTCTGACAATGGGACAGAAGAATAAACAATCGGATGAAGATACTCAACTCTCCTCTCTTAGTTTTTCCTGATATTATAGTAGTGTGAGCAGTCAAAAAGAATGACGATATATGCAACAAGAATGAATAATAGACAAAAAAAAACAGAGGTTGCACAAACCTGGAAATCCAGTGACACCAACAATATCACCACGCTTAACATTTGAATGGAGCTTTGAAAACTCAGTTTCAGCCAATCCTGAATTACTGAGACAAGAAAAACACAATATACCTAAATAACTGTATTTCAAGAACAGTTTAAAGATAATAAAAGAAGTAAATCCAGTAAACAAAGCATTCACCTTGCATCAGCCATAACTTGGATTTTGAAATTTGTTGGGGTCGGTTTTCACCCTAGCGAGATCAACGAGAAAATGGCTAAGTATAGAAGTGATTCTTGGCGATGTCCAGACTTTACCCGGGCAAAGCCAATCACCTCGCCCAAACGTGCACCGGCGAGGTGAACTGTGCAAAACCCGGGCGAAGCCAATCACCTCGCCCAAACCGTGCATGGGCGAGGTGAACCGTGTAAAACCCGGGCGAAGCCAATCACCTCGCCCAAACCGTGCACGGGCGAGGTGAACCGTGTAAAACCCGGGGCGAAGCCAATCACCTCGCCCAAACCGTGCACCGGCGAGGTAAACCGTGCAAAACCCGGACGAAGCCAATCACCTCGCCCAAATCGTGCACGGACGAGGTGAACCGTGCAAAACCTGGGCGAAGCCAATCACCTCGCCCAAACCATGCACGGGCGAGTTGAACTGTGCAAAACCCGGACGAAGCCAATGACCTCGTCCAAACCGTGCACGGACGAGGTGAACCGTGCAAAACACAGGCGAAGCCAATCACCTCGCCCAAACCGTGCACCGGCGAGGTGAACCGTGCAAAACCCGGGCGAAGCCAATCACCTCGCCCAAACCGTGCATGGGCGAGAAAACTTCTAATCAAGCCCGAAGGCGAAGGCCCATGAAGCAATAAGGCAAAGCCCCAAGTCAGACCCAAGGCGAAGCGATGTGCAAGTGGGCCGATCCCAAATCCATGAAAAAGTCTGAAGCGGTGTTTACCCTAAAAGACAAAGCCTTGAAGAAGAGGGCATCGCGAAGGGGATAAGGAAGGATTATCTGCACAAATATACTCCGAGATCTCCGTCTAGATTAGAACTATGAGTTGTATAAATAGAGAGTTGAACTCATTAGCGCGGATCATCTTGGGACCTAGCAAAAGACTTAGCAATACTTGTACCAAAAGCTTATCTGAGCAGCACTAATAAAATCACTATCTTTGGATCTTTGTTCTCTCGTGTTTTAACTTAGAATCTTTACGTCCTCTTTTATTTTTAACAGACAAATTCTGTTGTGTGAAATCTAGCCCACACAATTTGGCGTTAGAAGGAGGGGGAGTAGAAGAATTCTTAAACCCATGAACCGAGAGACGCGAGATCTGAAGAGATGTCCACCGGAGCACAAGACGGAGATAACACCGGAGCTAGACGGGGCGATGGAGGCGCTGACGATACAATTCAGCATCCACAGACGCAAGCCGAGGCGCTCACGACTGCCCTAGCCGAGGTGAAAGAGATGTTGGCGACGCTGGCGAAGAAGGCAGGAGAGCAAGACAAAACCCTCGAGGCGTTAGCAGCGGAGAGCCGAGCCCAAAGCCAGCGCATCGGGAGCATCCTCCCACCAACGAATCCACCAAGCAGGTTCAGGAGACACAAACTCAACCCTACGGCACTCAATTTCTCTACGCCAGTGACGAGCGACAGCAGACCCGGAGGTTCAGGAGTTCTCCAATCACGAACTGCCCCCGAAGAACAGACACCTGCCGCAACGAGGCCAAACATCTAAATCCCGCCACGTTTGAACCGGAGAGGAGTCGCCCAGGATCAGGGGGGCCAACAGCCAGGCGCAACCAGTGACAAACCAGTTGGGAGCGAAGCCAACCCGGTTATGGCCGAGGAGACGCAGACGGACCCGACCCAACTTGATGCAAACAATACCACGGCGATGCAGATCCGAGCTGAAGGGGATGTCGGCGACGCAGATCTCGAGCACGACTCGGACAAGGAGGACGAAGACCTCGCATGGGGCGGTCAAGCACGATACCCTGCAGAGTACAGAACCGCAAATCGGAGCAACGTTACCCAACACGGTCGAGGGAGTCGAGGAGGAGATGCCCTTAGTGAGATCCGAGCCACTTTAGCACGAGTGAATGCCGAGGTGCGAGCCATCAGATCCGAGGTGCATAACACAACCAGCGCGGCGCCGGAGATAGACTTGCTGCTAGAGGAAGTCCAAAAAACCCCATTCACCACTTGGATCACGGAGGCGAGAGTATCCGACCCTGGAAAAATTCGACTATCCACTTACGTAGGAATGACCGATCCAAAGGAGCATGTTAGATCGTTCAACACCGCGATGGCAAGATCCAAATTCAAGGAGCATGAGCGAGATGTTGGCTTCTGCCTTCTCTTTGTAGAAAGCCTTCGAGGAGCAGCTCTTGATTGGTTCTCGCGATTAGAACGGAACTCGATCGACAACTTCAAAAAATTGACCAGGGAATTCATGAAACAATATTCCATGTTCATGAACCAAGGCGTTTCAGACGCCGACCTATGGACTTTGTCCCAAGGACCGACCGAATCACAAAGAGCGTTCATGGGACGCTTCAAAGCAGTGATGTTTAAAGTGGAAAATGTAAGCGATAAGGGAGCACTCGTCGCTTTGAGAAAATCCCTCTGGTATAAGTCGGAGTTTAGGAAGGAAATAAGCCGAAACAAGCCGCAAACTATCCAGGATGCTATGCACCGCGCTTCGGACTTCATACTGGAGGAAGAAGAATTCAAAACTTTAGACCAACGCTTTGTTTCAGGGAAGGCGAGTGGCAAGAGTCAAGTCGCGACGCCGAGCCAACCATCCCAGAAGAAAAGTTACCAGAGCAACTCGTACGTACACCATGAAGGACCAAACTTCCGCGGAACCCATAACTATCGAATAGGCACTGGCCGAGGCAAACTCCCGTGGAGTAATACCTGGACGAGAAACCTGAACTCATATGACGAAAAAGCATATTGCGAAGTGCACAAGACCTACGGACATCCGACGACAAAGTGCCGAAAAATCGGAGCAAAACTCACGGAGAAACTCATAGCAGGAGAGCTCGGCGACGCGGTGACCTTGAAGGACCTCGAAGGAGAAATCACGGTGGAAGCAGAGCAACGAGACGAACCAGCTCCAGAAGAAATAGGCCTCGAGACGAGGAGAGATCCCGAGGCGAGGAGAGATCCCGAGGCGAGGAGAGATCCCGAGGCGAGGCCACGTGTAACCCCGAAGCATAATCGGAAGAATGACAAGGAAACTGAACCGGGGACACGACAAAGGATAAATATGATCATGGGCGGATCACAATATTGCCGAGACACTATCTCCGCGACCAAGTCCTTTCAAAGGCGAGCCGACGCGAGCATCAACTGGTCCGCACCAACGAAAAATCCAAACGATATCATCACCTTCGAAGAACGCGAAACTACGGGCATCGACAGGCCGCATAACGACCCGCTTGTCATCGAACTGATCGTGAAAGATCATGACGTGGCGAGAGTCCTCATCGATACCGGAAGTTCCGTAGACGTTATCTTTCGAGATACCCTAGTCAAAATGGGAGTCGATATGTCCGAAGTCAAGGTGACCCCGATTCCTCTGACAGGTTTTGCTGGGGATACGATAATGATGCTGGGAACCATTAAGTTGCCTGTCCGAGTCAGAGACGTGACTAGGATCGTCGATTTTTCAGTCATTGATAGCCCGGCGATCTATAATATCATCATGGAAATGCCGTGGATTAATTCTATGTGAGTTGTCGCCTCGACTTACCACTTGTGCTTGAAATTCCCTGGCCCGAACGGGATAAAAACGATCTGGAGAAGCCAAAAGGAGTCCAGGATATGCTTCATGGCCGAACACAAACTCAGAAATCCCAAGACCGAGACGAAGGGAGATACGGAGCGTAAGAAGATCAAGACTAACCGCGAAGCAAAGCTAAGGCGGTCGAGACTTTTATAGCAATTACAGAAGTCGGAGGAAGGAGAGGGGGAACAGCCGAGGTGTGCTTCCGTAATTTCAGTGTGCATAGACGAGGCGAACCCGGAGAGATGCTTAGAAATCGGAGCCGAGCTGGACGAGACATTAAAAACTGAGCTGACCTCCTTCTTAAAGGAGAACATTAACACTTTCGCATGGGCCACAAAGGACATGCCCGGGATCAGCATCGATGTTACCTGCCACGAACTGAATGTCGATCCGACCTTCAAACCCGTAAAGCAGAAGAGAAAGAAGCTCGGGCCGGAGCGAGCGAAAGCGGTTAACGACGAAGTAAACAGACTTTTGAAGGTGGGATCTATTGCCGAGGCAAAGTATCCCGACTGGCTCGCGAACCCAGTAGTAGTAAAAAAGAAGAATGGGAAATAGCGGATCTGCGTAGACTTCACGGATCTGAACAAGGCGTGCCCAAAAGACAACTTTCTGATACCTCACATAGACCGCCTCGTCGAGGCAACTGCTGGCAACAAGCTCCTCTCGTTTATAGATGCTTTTTTCTGGATATAATCAGATCCTGATGAATCCCGACGACAGAGAAAAAACAGCATTCATAACGGACCTAGGCATATACTGTTACAAGGTAATGCCCTTCGGGCTCAAGAATGCTGGAGCGACCTGTCAAAGATTGGTGAATAAGATGTTTGCCGCGCAACTCGGAAAAACAATGGAGGTATATATAGATGATATGTTGGTGAAGTCACTTGAAGAAAAGGATCACGTCACCCACCTCAGAGACTGCTTCGCCCAGCTAAATCAACATAACATGAAGTTAAATCCAACGAAGTGCCGGTTCGCAGTAACCTCCGGAGAGTTTCTCGGATACTTGGTGATAAACCGGGGAATCAAAGCAAACCCAAAGAAGATCATTGCCTTGATCCAGATGGCATCGCCCAAGAACAAACGAGAAGTACAACGACTTACTGGGCGTGTTACCGCACTAAACCGATTCATCTCAAGATCGACGGATAAATGCTTGCCTTTCTACGACACGCTATGGGGCAATAAGAAATTTGAGTGGACGGAGGAATGCGAGCAGGCCTTCCAGGAGTTAAAAAGTTACCTCGCCACCCCGCCCGTGCTTGTAAAACCAGTCGAGGGAGAGCCACTGTA